GGAGCTCTCCGGCAGTATGCAGTGTAATGTCCCAGGCCATCTTTGGTCAAGCTTCCCCTGAAAGCGACGACTGCTCTCAAAGTACATTTTTTTCCTTGCAGAACCATAGTGGAGGGAAATTCACTCAAAGCAAATTCAGTTGAATTTGGAAGGTCTGTGTCAATCCATGCTATTTCTCCGATACTGTAGTTGTGAGTAACGGTTCCTGCACAGAGAGCATTTCCTGAAGTGCTGGCTCCTGTTTTTAATTCTGCTGGACATTCTGATCCATTCTGCAGTGGTCTGAGGCAGGGAGACGGTGGAAGGAAGAGTCCTTTTTCTATGGAAGTGTGAAGCTGAGCCATACCAGAATTCTTCAGGACAGAAATGTCTGGTGAAACAAATGGTACTTCCCTGGTCATTCCTTTGTTTAGGTGGCAGTATTGTGAAGAGCAGTGTTTTGAGAGATAAACACTTGACACATTTCTCATTGTCTTCCCAATAACAGTGGCAATATTGCACTGTGCATCGATTTGGTGAGTGCCAGACCTTAACTGTGTTTTTGCAAACATTGAACTAAGCAGATCTGCCCTCTGCAAGTATGTCCTTGGGTTCACACCATCTGTAGTTATGGATTTCACCAGCTGCAGGAGAGGGTTGTCATTGTTATTCATGACAACATTTTGAAATGCAGAGCTGTCACAGAAAGTACAGCATAAGCACTGACAAAAGGCATCGAAGGAGCAGGTGTTTAACACAGAGATTGACAGTTTACCAACTTTAACAGGCTGATGCATGTTTCCATTTTTTAATAGTCCCACTTTCACTCTTTTGGCCCCAGATGATGAATCTGCATGGAGCCATTCAGTACAGGAACTCAGGTATGAAGTCCTCTTCCTCTTTTTGGGTGGAAGAATTTGTCCTCTCCAGTTTTCAACCACGTTTTCATCTGCTAATCAGTGTTATGCATTGACAACAGTTCTATTAATTGTGTCTGTTGAAACAGCTACATGCATTAAAGACAGCAAAATGACTTACCTGCACCCAGGCTCATGGGTGGTTTCAACACTTTCCTCCAAACCCCATAAAACTGCACCATGGAGCAGAAGTCGGCCCATCTCTTTTTTTACTTCATTTATTAACTTGCTGTTGTCCTTATCCAGAATCCGCCGCAGTTCATCCATCACCTGCAATGCAAATAAGTGTTAAAATCTGCAACAATGCTAGCTTTGTGGAGAAGTCAAAACCAACAAGTGCATCTTACATGATGAAGCTCTTTGAAACATGGATATGCTTCCAAAATGTTTGCAGGTCTGTCCTCTTCTTTCAGAATGTCATTGTCAATGAAGGTTCTTCTTGCTTGAAACTTAAGGTCAAGGATCTGGCAGACAGCATCTTGGTTGGGTTTTGGTTTCTTATACATCTCCTGCAGAGTCTTGTAATGCCTGGCCTGTGTTGCCAGACTATCTGTGTCCGCTAAAAGGAAATACAAATCAGCAACAAGTATTGGACATGTCATCTGAATGATACGACAAATTTAAGCCAGCAAACATAACATTTTGATTGTTATACTTTAATTTTTACACAATGGAATCAAATAAGTGAAAACTACTGTCACATCACAATACATCAAAGCCTAATCATAACTTCAATGTAAAGTTTAAATACCTGTAATACATGTCATTATATACAATACTATGATAGCATTACCTAGCTTTCGTGCCCATCATTATTGCCAAAATACAATTTTTCACTCACCTGTACTGTCACCTTCAGAACTGCTCCCAGGTGGCAAAAGAATTGTTGATCCACCACTTGAGTCTGCATCATAATCTTCTCCCTGGTCACTTGGAGAGAAGTCAATGTGACGTCTTTTGGTTGAACTGCTTCTCTCTGGTCTGGGCCCCTGCCTCTTCTGTGGGGACTTCACATTCAGAATTCTCTTCTGAAGATAACTGTACATGCTCATCTGTGGTGAAAAAAGTCATTCATTGAAAAAATATTTTGAATATCACGTAACTTTTTTAAATAACTTTTCAAGAAAAATAATATGGCTAAAATTGTCATCACTTACATGTTTGATGGGTTCATCTTTATCCTGTAGCATGGGATAATACTTCACTAGTCTCTTAGCCATTGCAGTGACCTCATGCTTTGAAGGGTACTGGAGTTCCTCTC